ATGAAAAATCGTGGTTAAAGGTAAGGCTTTTGTGGAGTTTATTTAAAGAGATGATTAAAGATAAATTTCCATTCTTATTCTATGTGTAAAGTGTTTGAACTGTTTCCGTTGCTGTGCGATTCGTTTCATTTTGCAACCGTGCAAAATGAGTTACATAGAAATGTCGATTTCCGTTCTCGTTCTTGTACATTCAGTTACATCGACGACTTTGTGCTAATTAATTCGATTCCCGTAGCCGACATTGATTCTTTTTTTTTTCTTTATTTATTCGTATTTCGTTTATTTTGTATGTCTTCTGCAGTCGGAATCGCAGTCTACGTATCCACGCAATCGACTTCAATTTGAATCGAATTCAACTATTTTCACGTGTGACTTAAAAGTGACAACGTTATCAAAATTCTCGCAAAATTATTTATTTCAAAATTACTGTCAAAAGTATATTTTGTTCTTCCGACGAGTAAACTATATTTATATACTGAAAAACTGAAGCGTGGAACATCTACGTTTCCATCTTTCAAAAATGCCACGAGAACTAAAATCTAAAGCCCGAAGCAAGATTTATTGTATCTATGATGAGCCAACGTTCCGCGACTAGAGCTCGCCACACGATTTATTCAATACAAACTCACGGAACGATCACGATGGAATTCATTTGATCGGTTTTAACGGGCCGTCGTATTTGCCGTCTCCGATTCATCGATCTTTGATAAAAAATCGCATTGACACGTCGGCCAACAGTATGTTCGCAGCAAGAATTCAATCGCTGGCCAGTCGCTTGTTAAAGTAGTCAAGTAAAGTCTGTCAGACTCGATCTGACAGTTTGCGACGCCTCGACTGAACAAACATAGTAAGTGCTAATCGGAGCACGTTGAATATCGGAGACCGTCGAGATCGGGCCGAGGTACGCATCAGCTTGAATAACGAAATTCTCCGTGGACAGTGATGGATAATGCGTCTCGTTGACAGCGCTCCGTGCCACGATGACGTTTTTCCCTTTCTTTTTTTTCTAATTAAAAGAAAAAGCAACACGTCACATTGTTGTTGAAGCTGTCCGTTCGTATTCCACGATGACTAGACGTTTTCACTTCGCTCTAAACACCTTTCTACGATCACGGTTTGGAAATCTTTGTGCAATGATTTTTTTTTTTTAATCTTCCTTTTCCTTTTTTCAATGGTCTTGTTTTCAGTGATCTACATGGGGTTGTTAATGAAGTTCTGAAAATGATTTTTTTTTTTTTACTATCGCACAGAGTAATAAAATGTCAAGCAACAGGAAATATTCGAGTAGAATTAATTAATACTTCGTATTGGTGTATAAAATTGCATGAAAATTGTGTTTCTAAGAAGAAACATCCGTAGAACATCCTTTGGCGCGTCGCTGAAATCACTGAAACGTCTTGCGGAATAATCCTCGGGACTAGCAGTCTAGAATGTATCTTTCGAACATTGATAAAAATGATCGACAAAGAATCCTGAATTATCGTCTTCGGGATTCTTCATTCATATAAGTTCCAACAGCGCCGGCGAAAGAAATCCTAATTAAGATTTCTAGAAAATTAGCACATCGGCCTTTGCCAAGCGAATCCCGCTTACTCCTCACTGTTTTTCGCGTTTACCACAGTCGCCGGGTTCCAGACTTTTTTCCCAACCTGTTCGTTGCTCAACCTTTGCATAATCCCGAGATGCGGCCGCTCGATGATCTACACGGCGAACATCGTACGGAACGTCCATTATTTACGGTTTCGTAAGGTGCGAGCGTGTAAGTGGTTTCGTCGATCCCGATTGTTGTCGCGATAGTGGCGGTTCGCGAACAAGCGGACACGGACGACGTGAAAATCACCACTGGATCTCGAGGATTTGTCCGACTCTCCGTCGAGGATTTGTCGATGTTCGATTGACGACGTCCTTATCGAATCGCATCCGGTTTAGAGGAGGACTCTGCAATTAATTCTGATGAATTCTATCTAAATGTCCACTTGGGAACGACAAGCTTCCTGGATAAAACGATAATGGAACAGCGATAGTGAATATAGAGTGCAATAACGCCACGCAATAACGATTCGAAAATTGAAAATTTATTCCTCCTTTCAATTCCGAGGAATTAATTAACACGTGATTTTACAGTACTATTGTTTTCATTGAAAAATGATTAAGCGTGACTGACTAATTCAATCGAATTTGTCCAATCTGATTCGTTTCTACGCTGTTAAAGTTTCGAAAAATTTTAGAAAGTTTAAACCTCCCTTGCATTAAAAATCACTTTTGTAAGAAGATTGTATCGAAGTGAGGAACACATTGTTAATTTCGATTTAACAATAAAATGATCAATAATACACAGTGATGAGCAAAACATTATGAACGTTAGAGTTAAACAACAAAAATTTAAAAAATTTCAGTGTTTTACGTCATTTAACCGTAATGTTTAAAATTCAATGAAATTGCAGAAAAAGAAAGGAAATTATACAGCAGGTTTTATAGATCAGTTTGCAAGATCATGGTGGCTCAAGTTACGACAAAAATTTTTCAACTTGTCCTCACAGATGTTCGAATTTACAATTCTCGAGGAATAAAAGTACTCTTACTTTCTTAAAACGAGCTTGGAACAAAGTCAAAGTGGAAGCTTCACGATCTGAAATAAGACACGGTAGATTCTTATATGATTTCATAAAGTTGCAACAGTTTCAAAGTGTCTCGATAATTTTTTCATCGTTGCGTGTTCAATTGTGCTCTTTACTCTGGGCACAGAATTTCTTTCAATTACGAGCCGAAACGGACGTCAGTGATGAGGAAGATGAACGATAGAGAACGAAAGGAACGAAACTCGTAAGATCGAGACGTTGGTGTGTTTGCTGTGACGGCACGTTGTTCTCGTTCTCTCGCGACGAGCCAGGTGTGGGAGTGACCGAGTGGAGATGACTGGTTCGATAAGGCGATCGATCGGTCGGACAATACCGCTATACCGGATCGATGAGATCGCAAGGGGGGGGGGGCTCTATCGGCGATCGTTTATGCGATAGATGACCCGAATCGTTAAGGGCTTCTGTTTCCCGGGCATACGCGAAACGCACGCGTCCCCGATCCAGCCACGCGATTAAAACCTCGCACCGGTACTCGCGCTGCTTTGCGCGTAATTTTCGCCGCGGCCAGCTTCCAGATGGCAATTTCGCGCCGCGATGGCAGATCCGATCGGCCGATAGAGCCGCGACATCGGGAAAGAAATAGCAACAGTAATTGACGGTGTTACATGTGTTCACCATCTCGATATCATTTCTTAGATCTTCATTTAGAGCTCAATAATTTTAGCTTCGGTAATATTAAAATTAGAAAGTTATAGAAGTTTTGAGAATTATATATATAATAAAATTTATATTTATTTTATAATCATTAATTTATTTGATATATTATTTTTAGGTATTATATGTATATGTCAAATAGATATAAAATTAATTATTGCAATTTCTTCAATTGTTCATATAGGAATTATATTAATAAGAATATTATTAATAACGAAATTAAGATGGAAGATATTATATAATAATTAGACTTCTAGGATTTATTTCTTCAGGACTATTTTATCTTACAAATTTAATTTATATTCAAACTAATAGACGATTAATTAAATACATAAAAATTACTAATAATATATTTATAAATGTGTCGCGAGTCGAGCGGGTTATGCGTTTCATTTGAGAAGAATCGAGAAGAATCAAGAATTCGTTTGGAAGGTGTTGTTCTGGCACTCTGTTTAGCTCGGTTGTACGTGTTAGAGGCTGATCGTGTTCAAGTCGATGGCGCGTATTTTGAATTTATTTAATTATTATTTAATTGTCCCTTGAATTTCTATATTTCAATCCTGTTCCAAGGGTTTTCGTTCGAAGGAAACTTTGAACAAGAAAAGAGATATCGTGAAATTTCTTCTATATGTAAGTATTCTGTCCAAACAGAAAATATTTGTTTATTTATCGTTTAAAACATATTACTGGGTTGAAAATGACTAATTGTAAGAACTAACGTAGTATGTTACTGCAATGAATAATTTTGGTAGACATTATTACACACGTAGAGAATAACAATAATTGATATTACTTGTATAACAAGCTGTTTAAAGAAGCACAGTGTGTGCTTCGACACATTTGAAACCATTGTTTGGATAACTTTAGCAGCTGTTATTGTAAATGTGAAAGAAAGAAAATCGCGCATCAGCCATCGCGCGATTACATAAAAAACGGGCTACGAGCTGCGCCTGACACGCAATTCACGTAGAAAAATAATCGATTGGAAACGTGTCTGAACCTATAGAGACCAATAAGGCAGAAGCAAACTCGGCGCGCGTGCTTATAAATGCAGGTGAGACGATTAAAGGTAGTAAATAGCGCGGACCACGTTCGCGAATGAAGCCAGAGTATTGCACACCGGACACGCGATAACGATAAGGCAGAACGAATCGAATCGAATCGAATCGAATCGCTGGAGGAAGGTGATGGCCAGAGAGAAGTAAGGAAGACACAGGCTTAGATACAGTGGATGGAAATGGGATTTACAATTAACGGGTTTCCAATTGGCTCGTTCGATAACTGGCGATCGAATTGGCGTCGTGTGTTACGAAGGAACTTGGGAATTCCGAGAACGCGTACACGCGGTATGCAGGCCGTGTGCCAAAACGCTCGAAGCGTGTACGCACATCCGCGATCGCCGTGACCCATGGAATTTATATTTTCTTTGGCGGACGTTCAAATGAACGGAGCGATGCTAGGCAATCAGCGGCGAACGGTCGCGTTCAGATTCGAATCGACGCGATTTTGCGGTTTAAACAGCGAGTTTGTTCTGGATTGACACACCAAGTGG